TCCATTGCATTATCCTGGAGTGCTACCCCAGGACTCCTTGGACCTAATAAAATTCCTATCAATTTGCAAATAGATCAGGGATAACATACAGGCTTAAAATGAGAAACTCAGAGCTCCCTGGCCCCATTATGGATAGCTGTGCTTTTATATAGCAAAAGCCATCTGATAGTTTGTTACTAGTTTTTTAAAAATATACAGCCAATGAAATCACTTGAATGTGAAATAGGGTGTCTCTAAGAGTTTCCATTGTCTGAGTTTGATGAAATTCTATTGTATTTGGGTAAAAAAAAAAAGTGTCTCTATCTGTTTGTCAAGTCAAGACTGCCTGAAAAACAAGGGAGTCTAATTAAAAACTTGATTTAAAGAACAAATGGTGGGGCTACTCAGAGCCTGCTGAATACACAGGTCATTCTTTCTGCAGATGACGGAGACTTACTTTGCTTTCAATTCTGTCCTCAGAGGTTCTGATTTCTCCAAGGCTTTCTACAGTTGCACACACTCTTCCTTTAATGTAACCATCTCCGGTCCCACTCCAGCAGACTTACTAAGAAACTTGATCTTGAAGAAGAGTCTCTTCTGTGGTCAGTTCTTCACAGCCAGGAAAGCTCTTATGTTCCACTGGATCAAAAGAAGTGTGTTCCTAAATCAAGTGAGAAAAAAGAAAAGCAAATTAACCCAAATAATAGACATGTTATTTTCTAAATTAACATCCTTAATAAGCACATCTTTTTAGTAGTTATAATAAATCCTCATTAGTCTTCAAAACACTTCTTCATCTGAGCTCTCATTTGATTCTGGCAAAAACTCTGTGAGAGACTTCTGGGGCTAGTGATATATTGTGGATTGGATATCATGAAAATGTTCCCATCACAACCATTAAATGAGAACTGAAACTTAAAGAGAATAAGATGTAAAGAGGGAGACAAACACCCAAGCATTAGACTGTGTGGATCATAAGATACCTTGGCCATTTTCATGGAAGGAGGGAGCCAACCTTGGTATTGTAAGGTTTTTCTTGTGTTTGTTTTTAATAAGGAGACATGATAATGCAATGGTTAAAGAGCTTGAAAGCTAACTGAAAAGGCAGCTGTTTGAACCCACCTGTTACTCCAGTTGAAAAAGATGTATAGTCTGCTTCCATTGATATTGTTGCTGTTAGCTGCTACCTAGTCAGTTGTAGTCTGACTAGTTACCCCATGTACAACAGAATTAAACACTGCCGAGTCCTGCACCATCTTCACAATAGTTTTTATATTTTAGCCCATTGTTGAAACTACAGTGCCAATATATCTTCCTCTTTTTTGCTGACATCTATTTTACCAAGCATCATGTCCTTTTCCGGGAATTGATTCCTCCTGATGACAAGTCCAAAGTACATGTGACAAAGATTGAAATGTTGGAAAATCTCTGGGGCAATTCTACTGTGTCCTATAGGATCACTGAGAGTCAAAATTGCCTGTCTGCAGAAGGTTTTGTTTTGTTCTGGTTGTTTTTATATTCACTTGAAAAGAGAAACAAAAATGAAGTTTTCAAAATTTTTCACTGTTAGTGAAAGACTGGATGAAAAAATTCACCCACTGACATAGAAGGATTACAAAGAGAAGTACATTTGTTTTGTTGTTGTCTCAGTGTGATGAAAAGAACTATTCTGTGCGAATATTTTGTATCAAGACCAGCAACACTGGAATACATGAGCTATAAATTGTGTTACTCCTCAAGAGCACAATTAAGTGTTCTGAAATACTCATACTCATACTTTGCAAGGTTGTCCATAGCTTGTTCTGATCCACACAATTGAAAGTCTTTGTGTAGTCAATAAAGCATAGATAAACATCTTTCTGGTATTCTCTACTTTCAGCCAAGATCCATCAGACATCAGCAATAATATCCCTCATTCCATGTCCTCTTCTGAATCTGGCTTGAACCTCTGGAAGTTCTCTGTAAATGTATGCTTGCAGTCATTTCTGTATTACATTTAGT